TTCATTTTCAAGTCAACTTTTAAACTAAAGGGTGGCTATGTCAACAAAGAAAATTCAGCAAAAATTCACCAACTTAAAGACGATATTCAACGCGTTTATCTTAATTAATATCCATATAAAGTAATCCATCCAAAGTAAAAATGTTTAATTTGGGTGACAAAAAAAATATAAAGACATTAAAAAATATTGTGCCCATAACTGTTAACGTTATAAAAAATTGTGGCGAACAAGTTGTACCGTTGCTTTTGATTTTTGTAAAATTCGACACGTTGACGTTTTCATTTGCTCGTTCTTGTTGAAAACAATCGTAATAAGGACAAAGAAAAGTCCCCGGAGACCGCAGGCGACAACTAAGGTACAAACTTGTTCTTCGTTTTTTCTGCCTTTTCTCTTGTACCGGCCCTTATCGAATTATTCCGCTCCATATTGAATTAATTCTTTTTAAAGGAAGTGGCAGAGTGTAAAGTTTAGTTTCCAAACCAAAACAAAATAAAGTTTCCGCTGTTTCATGGCAATATTTTTCAAGTATATTTATTTGACGTCAACACTGCTTCCAATAACAATAAACCTTAATTTATATATTTTTGGTTGAATTTACATTTATTGGAAATTTCAGGGTATTTTACTTCAGTTTTTTTATTTTAATTTTTTTGTAATCATAAACTACAAACTTTTTTATATTTGACATTTTCTAACATGTCAAACGCTAATACAATGTACACAATCATTTATTTTATTTTTTTTCATATATTTTTTTGTAGACTCATTAATATTAATTAATTAATTTTCTTAAATCAAGATGTTTTCTATAACCCAATATTTTTTTAATTAATAGATACAAGATTTAAAATGTTATTTCATTGATTACAAAATAATATTTATTTTAAAACAATGCAAGAAGTATCGTTAAAAATAAAATGTATCTTAATTTTTAGCAATGTTTCAAAAAATCTATCATTTTGTATTTAAAATCAATAAAATTTTAAATATGATCCGTCTATTAACTAAAAATTATTTATTTTAATAATAAAATAGTTATTTATGTTATAGGTTAAGAAGTAAGGCTTTTTGTGCTAAGCTCAAGGTTTGAAGGCCGACGCGTAACGGAGGCCTGCAATTGAGCGAAGCACAAAAAGGCACTTCTTGGCCGAATGGCATACAACATTTTATCTTCAAAGCATTTTATATAGGTCAATTTAATTCAACATCAAAGCGGCCTAACCTCACTTTTTTAGAATCTCATTTATTTATTAGCTAAAGATTACATTAAATGTACAATAATTATTATTGCTTTTAGAAGCAGTAATAGTTTGACAAAACCTAGCTACATGATTTAAGTAGAAATGGATTATTGCTATAGCAATATGTTACATTGAATTCAATTAATTGTTTAATAAATAGGTAGGTATCTAATTTCAATTTGTTTGGATTTTTATTTAAAAAATAGGTAGTTTGGAATGTTTAAGCTGTGTTTAACATTTAATTTCACTGAAAACTTAAAGCAAATAAAAACTTTTAATATAATAATTTAAATCGTAGAAAAAGATCGTGCGTTTTCTTGGTTGCCTAACCTCACTTTTTTATATTTATTTTTATAATTATTTAATGAAAAATATTAAACATTAACACTAAAACATTTTAAAATTTTTTATCGGCCTAGGCCATAACAAGGTATTTTTTTATCGAATGTTGACAACAATAAAGTTTAAATTATAGACCGCGTGAAGATAAACATCTTTATATTTAGGAATATTACTGCAAAAGAAATAAAATTTAAAATAAAAATACGTCTAAACAATGGAGTAATTTAAAATATCCTGTAATTTTTTAAGGATTTTTTTCTAATCTTAAACAAGACTTTATATTTAAATACTTACGGATTATTCAAATTTGAGCCAAACTTACTGAAGGGCCAAAGTATACGTTGTATCGTTTCTAGGTGGTGCAGTAAGCAAAAAAATTTAGGTTAAAAAATAAAAAAAACAAACGTTAAACAAACATATTTATTTTGTTTTTAATACAAGAAAAATCTAAAATGTATACATTATTATAAATTAACGTAGGGAACTTAATCATTATTATCGACATATTTTTCATTTTAAATAATTTGTAATATTTTAGGCATAGTAGAAAAGCAAATACCAATTTTATAAAATAATTTAGGGCTATTGCCAGTGAACTCCACCCTATATGAATCAAAATTAATGTTATAATTATAATTACTTCTAAAGCAAAATCTTTTTAAATGTCAAAAAATAAATTAACTTAAAATAAGAGATGTTTTGGTTATCACTGCAAAGCCTATTTATTTATAAATAAAATAATTTTAAGGCATCCCTTATGCATATTAGTAAATATTTAAACAATAAACTTACCTACCTAAACGTAAATGCGACGCTAAATTTAAAAAAGGGTGGTATATCAATAACAACAATTTTATTATAATTTCCTTCGATGCTTATTATAATTTCCTTCGATGCTCTAATAATTTTTTATCATTTCATTACTCTCCCTCACAAAGAGAAAGAACCACTGCAGGATTAGGCATAACATTTCAGAGGAGGTGTCGGCATCTCCACTCCTACACGATTTCAAAAATATGTATTCTTGGCAAAATAAAATACTGTTTATTAAAACGAATAAAAAAATTTAAGAATATCTAAATCTTAATATAAAAAATTAAAATAAATAAAAAATAAGAATATATTATTCTTAATATAAAAAAATATTAACAATTGTACCAAGAAACCAACTACGATTTCCTTCAAGAATATTTAATATTTGGATTGAAACATGCAACTTTTTAAAATAAGAAATGTTTCTTAATATTAAAATATTTCCAAAAGTACAAAATTCTTTTTTAAAGAAGTTAAATATTTTTAGTTGAAATATATATTCTTATTTTAAAGCAAGTTGACTTGAATTAAAAAAATATTTTCAAGATGATAGGTGTTCTAAGTATAATAATAATAATCTTTTTTTTCATTGTATATTAAACCCACGTAGTACAACATGTGGCATTATCCTATTACTATAGTTACAAAAAGAGCGATCTGATTGTCAAATAAAACTATATTGGAAATATTTAATCAAAATATTTTTAATTAATCGATTTGTCATCAAAATTAGTCCCAATAAAAATAAAAATGTCCGCTCGATTGTCCGGTCAAATTTAATTTCGAACAGCTCGACAACACATTCAGTGCTGACATAATTTTCACGCTCTTGCCCAACGACGCCGCCACACGGTTTTTATTGCTCGAATATGGAAAACCGCCCCTATAATTTATCGGATTTTTATCTCTCGCCTTTGCATCCAGAATTGCTGTTCAACGATGTCGAAGGTCTTGTCGGCAAGTAGGCCAACCCACCCTATAAGTGCAGACAGTTTTTGAGATTTTAGTTTTAAAACGTAAAATTAAAATTTGTTTACGATATTATATTTATTAAAGATTATATACGGGTGAATATATTGAGATGTCCTCCAAGTGAAAATAATTATTTTTTATTTTTGGTTGTTTTACTGTTAGTCTAGAATGGGGTTTTTGGGAAGCCACCAGGTCTAGTAGTAACATAACATAAGTGGTTCTGCACTAATGCAAGAATTTTAAGAAATGATACATTTTGAATATTAGAGCTTCACGGAAGATAGCTTCTTATCTGCTGATTTTGTCTTTTTATGAAAATTTTTATATTTATTTTTTTTAAATTAGAAAAAAATGTTTAGGTAATTACACTTTTATTTAAATATTTATACAGGGTGTCCCATCGAAAATAGTCCAGCAAGGCTTTGTATGTGAAAATAAAAAAAAATCTTATTTTTTTAAATGGGAAGGGGTATGTTGTGATACATTGTATAAAATTTCTGGTAAAAAACAACACCAATTTGGTAAATTTTACCCTTTTTAATTGGTTAATCTACACGTACTATTCGTACAAAAAACTCGTAACAGTGTAAATATAATACACTCTTAGGGGTAAAAGCAACACGCACTATTGGTAAAACAACTCGATTCAAGAGTAGAAAATGCTCAATTTGGTGTAATTTTCTACACAGGTAGGTGTTAGGTGTAGGTGTCAAAAATGGTTGGTGTTTTAATATTAAACATGCTGAAGCATGTAATGTAAAATAAAGTATATTTTATATTACTTATAAGTATACATTATATTACTTATAAGTATACATTCTATTAGTTATGAATACAAATAGGCTTTAGCATAAAATTTAAAAAAAATTATTAACACTACTTAATATATTTTTTTAATTAAATGAAAAGTAGTAATATTTTAAGTTTTTTCCAGTTCGTGCAAAACCATATTTAGCTTATATAGGTATATAACTTAAATATAATTTTTCACTAGCTTAAAATATTACTAAATTACATATTTCACTTAAAAATAACAGATAAAAAAACATGTTTTATCACAAACATAAGTTGCATCCACTGTCACATTGTACCCCTTCACTAGACAACTGAATTTTAATTTAAAAAGCGTGATCTTAAATTAAAATAGCATAGGTACACTCCCATCAACTGCACTCGGAATACTGATCGCGCCCTTGCCGTTAGCGAACGGTGATGACTACGTGACTTTTTTTACCACAATTTGTGTAGCTGTCAACACATAATAGTGTCAAATGTACACCTCGTCGAGTTTATCTTTAAATTAACACTAGATTGACACGGTGCTGTGTTAAATGAATTTAAATTAACGCAAATGAATTTTACCACAATTTAAAATAGACACTTAATATTTTTGACCAATGTTAGTGTATATATTAACACCAAATGATTTTACCTCTACATTTGGTAACTTTACACCGAAATATTTTATACTGTGTACATTCTTTAAAATGAATGAAAACAAAATTAGACGGGTCCGAAGATTTTTTTTCACATACAAAGCCTTAAACCTTGCTGGACTGTTTTAGATGGGCCACCCTGTACATATTTTTATTTAAAAACCATATTTATAAGAAATATAAATATTCTTCTTACCTTTGCATCCTGAGTAACTGTTTAGTGAAGTCGTTCTTGTAGGCAAGGATGCCAACCGTCCCCGGCAGTGCGGGCAATCGTCTCTGCCCTGTTCGAGGCGCGCCCACCTGGCCGCCACGGGAGGCGGCAACGGCGGCGGCGGCGGAGATGGGCTCACCGATGGACTCGACCAGCTTGGATGCTCGCCCGCCAACATCTGGCACTGACTTCCGCTTCCGCTTATCTTGGAAGCCATCTACGACAAAGAGAAAAAACTTGTTAAATATGTATGAAAACGGAAAGGTACGTAATTTATGAAAGCAAGTTTGTGTTGGTTAATTCTCCTAAATTGGTTTAAAATGGATGTTATCTACGCAGTTAATTATGTTGGTTTTTAAAATTGCATAAGCTTACAAGCTTTAAACTATTACAATATTTGAATCTAGATAGATAGAGTAAATGGATAAGATTTATTTAAATTTATTTATTTATGCATATACAGCCCGTTCAGACTAAAACCGAGGCCTCGCCTCCCTCCAACGCGCGTTACAGTAGCTAAGCAAATAGCCTGCATCGCTAATGAGATTTTTTGCATTATTATCATTTAATTTTTGAAGTCGTCTTACCTGCTCGACCTTTCGTCATGTCGTTTATCACACAAGCTACTGTGACGCGCCTTGGAGGGAGGCGAGGCCACACCCCATATATATATATATATATATATATATATATATATTCGGTTTTACTCTGAATGGGCTGTATATTGGAAATAACTTAACAACTTAAAAAGTTGCTTGCTTCCATCAATTGTATAGTTATTGGTGACCCATCTTATTTTCACAGGCAATAATTTCTTAGCACAAAATTTCTTGGTAGAAATTTCTCATTGCAACAATTTCTAATTGCAATAATTTCTCACTGCAATAATTTCTTATTGCATTAATTTCTCACTTGGTTGGTTGGTGGGTAAGGTTGTTTTTATATTAAAGATAATTTTGCTTAGTGAAATTTTATCAATGAGAAATGTTTACTCTGACAAATTTTTGATTTGAAACATTTTTGCACTTAAAATTTTTTGTTGAGAAATTAATTATGAGAACATAAGACTTGGAGCCATAGTTGTTAACCCAAGGGGGTATAGTATTGTAGCGAGTACCGCTCTGGATCTCGGAATGATGACTCATCGCCGGTGAGTCAGCGATCAAGAGCGGTCCGGAGCTCGCTGGAAGATTCGGGAAGGCACGTAGGCACTGAATATATAAGGAACAGCGCAGCATGGAGGAGTTAGTTAAGCTTTAGTACTAGCGACAAAATAAATAAATATACGTGCAAATAAATAGACTCTTGTACAGTAGTTATATATAAATAATTAGTACTTAAGTGTTTAGTTAGTTTTATAGTGTAATTAAGTTATAATATAAATAGTTTAGTTCGTTAATAAACCAGTGCGTGTTTTATTCACACTACGAACAGTAAAAACGTTACAGTATAATAGATACGAGATAAAGATATAGATAATAAATCGTTGATTGTTTGTTTCTTTTACCCGACTTTCTGCTTAACGTTGAATTTAAAATCAGTATTTGATGCAACAAGCTCATAAGCTTTCCAATTTTCAAAGACTAAATTGTCTTCTCTTGTCATGTCTAATGCAATAAAAATTGTTTAATATTATTGTGCACCAACTAGATTTCTTGTAATGTTCTTTAATATTCCTGTTCAATGTAAGGTTTTATTCATAATTTTCAATGTTTGATTTTAATTTATTATTTTTATACTTAAGCGTTCCATAAATTAATCTTTACAACGCTCACTACCAAAAATTCGATTATCTCCTAGGCTGTAAACATAATTTAGACCAATCAGGAGAAGTTTTTACATTCTAGTCTAAAAAAAAACAATAAAAAATTTGATAACTCTATAGCTCTAAAGCTATACAACCTCACTTTATACTTTTAATAATTGTTATTAAAATTGTAAGTACGTTTTATGTATTTTAAAAAATCATCAAAAATAAGTAATCTTAAAATTCATTTTTTTAATCCCACTAGGGCATTATCAATTAAAGATTTCGTGCCTTTATCTAATTTTTGTTCAAAAATTTTTACCACCAAACAAAAACCCGTAGAAAAAACCTATTTTTACTAAAAAATTCGCTGTTAAAGTTTTCCTAACAATATTGATACACCCTGTATTATTTAATGATTTTATTTAAGAAATCCTTAGATCTTATCGTTGCTGTAAGCATGTAGGTACCTATTAATGTATTCTAGTCAGGGAATCAAGATACAATAAGGACAAATTTAATAAAGGGATTCTAGAAAATTAAGATAATTTGTAAACTGTGTAACAAAATCATTTAAGTTTATAATAAATGTTTGTTTTGTTTATTTGTACACCATAACCAGAATATATTTTATAACAAATAAACAAGAAAATCATGAAATTTTTGGCTAACTCTAAAATGTATTTTGGAGTTATTTAGTCCAATACCTCGACATTTTTAAAATAAATTAACCGTATTTTAAAAATTACTAAGCATTACTTAAAAAATATTAAAATTTCAGTAATTAATTAATATTTATATACTCCCGTCAAAAAATAGGATTTTTGTTTTGTTTCGTATTATACATGTTTCAAACAGGCTTTTTGTATGTAAAACAATGTAAGGGGTCGTCCATAAATGATGTCACACACTTAGGGGGGAGGGGGGGTCGTCGGAAATGTGACAGTTTGTGACAGCCGGGGGCGGGGGGGTTTGGGAGGTTGTGATGTCACAAAATTATAAAAATATTTTATTTTATTTTAAGCAAAAATTTCGTGGGGTAGACCTTACATAAAAATTAAATCAGTGTGACATGACGCCAATGGGGAGGGGGGGGTCCCATAATTTGTGACACTTTGTGACAAGAGGGGGAGGGGGGGTCAAAAATATTAAAAAAACGTGTGACATCATTTATGGACGGCCCCTAATTTGGACTATTTCACTTAATACTTTTTGGGCCAATTAGATTTTACTCATGCATTTGTGTAACAATGTAACAGGTATTGTTTTAATAATAAGTGTAAATTCAAAAATTAAGTGAAAATACCACGTTGCTATGGCAACGGTTTGTTTGTATCGTAAACAAAAACGTCAAAACCAGTTTATTTACGTTTTTGTACCATTTTCGTTAATAGTATATTATGTATCAAATTTGATAAACGCTATTTTATACACGAATTTAATTTAGGCACGAGCGAGCTTGCGAGCGAGTGCTTAAATTAATGAGTGTATAGAAAAGTTTATAAACGAGGTGCATACTATACTTTTTCTACGACAAATACTTATTATTATCTTAAAATGATTTAAATCAAAAATTTGTATAGAGCTCCATCTATGAAACAATAGGGGAATCTGTGTGTCACCATCAAATGTCACATTTTTAAATTTTATAAACACAGATTATAAAGGTTATAAATCGAAATGTATTTCTTGAAAATTGACAGTTTATCACAGTGAAAGTAAAGAAAATGTTTTATGAGCACTTTACAGTGGAGTCCGTGTCCGAATTTAAGTTATAGTTTACTGCCGTCGAAATTAAAAGGTCAGTACAATGTTCATATAAACTTTTCAAATATCGGCGTTAAGAAACTATTTAATAATTTTGTATTTTTGTATTGAGATATTAAAATAATTTTCACATTTAGTATTATTTTACAAGAAAGGCAATGTATTTTAACGATTGTATGACATTTGACAACTGTTAACTAACTTAAAACTAACTTCAGCCCGTGACTAAAAACCTGTTGCTAACTTCAGCCCGTGACTTAAGCGCCATAAAGCCACAACCTGTCAATGTGTATTTAAAAGGTCACTTAGTGTCATGGAAACATGTACAATAAAGGGCGTTTTAAAGGTGGGAGTAGAAAAAATTAATTATTTTGATGATATTTAAGAAAGTTAACAATAGTTATTACTAATTAATTAGTTATATTTTTGTTAATTTTGTGCTCAAAAATGAACCAGGTAATTTCATTTTATTCGAGCTTGTTGACAAGTTGTACAAATTCTATTTGTTCTTTGAACTTGTAGAGTTATAAACAACGACAATTTTATGAAAAATATTGGTAATTTATAACAGAACAACCACTCGAAAAATGTTTTTATTTCGGGAATTTTTTTTTTAACATAAAACATTTTGTTTGGTTTTATTGTTATTACATTACCTTTACCAAAAGTTATTCACGGATTCAATCTCTAAAAAGCAAGCATGTTGAAAGTTGATAAACCCCTATTTTGTTTGTTGTGCATCTTTTATGTCAACCGTAGCTTTAGGGGGCGAAACTCGTACGTGGGAGCACTGAGATGATGTTGTAACTTTGTCGTATTGATTTGTAAAGTTTGTTAGTAACCATCTGCAGTAAAATTAATAGATATCGGCACGGGTTTGAACAGAGGAACTGCATTAGATCATAAAGTGTATTTGACCGTAAAGTTAGCAAGTTGCTGAGGAACATAAACTTTGGAGTGGGCAACAAGTATGACCTTGTTTGTGTTAAAGTCATCTTGAAATTGAAGCAATAATTCAAGTTATGCTTTAAGGAGTTTGTGCATTTTAGAATATTCTAATAAAAGGCAATTAGGTACATTTAAATATCTTGTTGTTAGTGAATACTCAATAACTTCTGTCTCCTTTCGAATTCCTACTGCCAGAACTAATATACAGAATGTCAAGTTTTTGTACTTTTGCATTAGTACATACATTTGTTTGGCAGCCACTGTGTTACATAATATTCAAAAAAACATTGAATGCTTTTGTATGATTAGAAATAGTATAATTTAGAATATTGACTAGATTACTGTTTTGCGCATCAATGGTACTGTTTTCTATGCTCCGTGCACTTGTTTGTAATACAAGTTTAAAAAAAATCGATATAAAATGTCAGTAAATTAAAAAACTGTTATGTACTGTAGGTCCTGTGTATTCATATTGCAATAGGCGAAGTAATATAGGTACATTTCCAAACTTTTTTTTGTTTTTGTTCATTAAGGGCCTTGTTTAAAGTTATTTAACTCCCACGGCATTTTGAATTCAAGGATTAAATTATTTTCAGTTCCGGGCGAATAAATAGGATTTACGACTTTAGTTAAACTTTTGCGCAATAACTTGATTAGGTATAATACATTACCGGTGATAATTCCCTTTTGGAAAAGCCTTTCTATGCCAAGAAAAGGGTGGAAAATTATCGTTTGAACCTTTTTAACAGATGTTT